TCCAGGCCCACAGCAGCCCCGAATCAGGCCCCTGGGGTCCTAAGCCTGGATCCAAAACCCATTCATCGCGTGGAAGATCTGCTGTTGAATTCCCCGGAGCGGGAGTTCAATGCTGAACGAGGGGGCACAGACACTTTTGCCCTTTGAGAGCTTTGTAGGGGACCCGGAGCATGTCTGCCCGTGCCGTGGGGTCCGGCGCAGCCCATCCGTGCGGCCGCTCTCTCCCCGTCACCCTTCCTGGAAACCTCTCAATCGATGCTTCCCTCTGAATCCTCGCGTGGGGTGCTGATGGGAGGGGGCCGGGCCAACCACAGGCAGCCGCTGACGCTGACCTCGAGTTCAAGGACCGATTTCAAATCTCTCTGTGCCTCTCGCCTCTGTCATCCCAGCACGGCGCAGTGAACGTCAGAAATGGTCCTCCTCATAAAGAGCAACGGAGACATGTCTTTAGACGAATAATTGTTTGCTCCCATGAAGGCATGTGGAATTGCTTCTGAGTTCACGCACATCAGAAAAGGCACAGACTGCATTTACATTGACAGGTAAGAACACCTTCCTTGACGTCATTTAACTCATCGTTGAACTACCCCGAATAGTTCATGCTGCCCCATGTATTTGCAGGTTCATTCTCTTGACCATTAAGTATTTGTGTGTTGGTTTGTTCTTTAGATTTTACCTATTTATTTGTAGAGGGGAAAGGAAGGAGAGAGAGAAACATCCATGTGTGGTTGCCTCCTATGTGCCCCCGACTGGGGACCTGGCCAGCAACCCAGGCGGGTGCCCTGACTGGGAACCGGCAACCCTTTGGTTCGCAGGCTGACACTCAATCCGCTGAGCCAGACCAGCGAGGGCTATTTATTTATTTGTTTGTTTTTATCCTCACCTGAGAACATGCTCATTGAGGTTAGAGAGAGGGGGAGGGAAGGAGACAGAAAGGGAAAGAAACATTGATGGGTTGCCTTCCACAGGTGCCTCAATAGGGGATTGAACACACAACCCAGGTATGGGTCCTGACCAAGGATCGAACCCATGACCTTTTGGATTATGGGATGGCGATGCAACCAACTGAGCCACACGGGCCACGCAGAATCCGCTCCCACGATTACGCCACAGATGGGCCTCAGAACAAACCTGCAGAAAGATGGCTCTGAGACAAGATTTCGTTTAATAAAATATTTTGTTTTACAATAATAGCACTAGCTGCTCATCTCACAATCGGCCTTCAATGTATTTTGGCTTCCTTTCGTTTCCCCTCGGTCTGTATTCCGTCAGACCTGCTCACCTGCTCACGGTGGCTCTTTCTTCACAGAATGGCAGGTTAGGCCGTGATGAAGGTCGAATCTGTGTTAGGAAGGCTCAGCCTGCTCAGCCTTCCACTTGAGCTTAATTTCTCCCCTGACGGGTCGCTGGCTTTCAGAGAGAAAGCACTGGAAATAGTGCACGGTGAGGTGGGGTCGTTCGTGATCAGATGGGCCCGCAGAGGACACTGACTTGCTCGCCTCTGCAGAGGCCTGGCTCTTCTCTCTCCGTCCAGTGACCCTGCTGTAAGTTGCTCCCGAGAACACTGCCAGGACACGCTCTGTTTCCCCACCCGAGTCCCTTGTTTGTCTCTCCCAGTCCTTATCTGGCTGCTTCCTCTTCCATGTGCTTCCTTTTCCTCCCAGCAGCATCCTGACTTCTGTGTCCCCAGCGGGTCCCAAGCACTTCTCGCCCCCCGGGGCTTCCGAGCCAGAAGGATATTACTCATCTCTCCTTGCCTCCCGCGTCCACGCCTGACCTGTCCCATGCGTTTACAGTTCTCTTTGACTTAGTTGGATGTCGATCAATTTGCCAGCCTCTCTTTTGAACGAAGCCCTCCCCAATTTAAATACAGCTGGGCGTTCCGCTTTTATTTTTCAGCTTGACAAACGAATGCTCCTCTGAGCAGGAGACTCTTGGGCGCCTGCCACAGGCCTCCCGGGTCGGAATCTGCCTTTCAATGAGATCGGCAAGGGAGTGCCCAGTACAGAGGGTGAATTCTGTGGTCGGGTGGAAAATTATTTAAATGCCTCTCTCTTCTAGAAAAGGTACAGTTTCCTTTTCAACGATATTCAACCCCTCTGTCCACCCTCCCTCCACGTTGATGCCTAACTGCTTTATGGGGGCCTTTGGCCTTGACGTGGACTCCAGGGCATACCAGCGGCTCTGACCGTGAGCTCCAGGCTTTATGGTGAGACATCTTGATGTCGGGGACGTAACTGTAACAAATAACTTGCCTGGCAGCGAAACCCTCGGAGCCTCTCCCAGAGGTTGGTGTATCTGTCTAAGTGGAAAGGGCAGGCAAACTGTGGCTCGTGAAGCGAAGGGAAAGCCACGAAACAGGGCATCTCCTGGGCAGCGCAGACTGCGAATGAAGGCGCTCACCTGGGAGGGACGGCGCGGCGCAGGGGGCGGGGGGGATGCGAAAATGACCTCCATGCACTTACTGGCTCTGTTACTGCACAGGCACCTCTGTGTTCATGCTCAGCCGATGTGGCTCTGCGGTGTCATCTCGTACTGCCCGTACTGTCCGCGGTCCTTCCCGCTGGTCCCGCCGGTGTGTCTGTGCCTGTGCGTCCCTGTGCGCGCGCGCCCGCGAGTGCATGCACCTGCGCATGCGTGCGCGCGCCTTACCTACGTGCCTTTCTGCATCTTGCAGTCGCGCTGTTCTGCCAAAAAGGTTCTGTCAGTTTTATTTTCCATCCTAATTTCAAGTTCCCTCTTACTGGGGTGACACTTAATAAATCCATACTGATTTCAAGTTTTACTTTCCATACTAATTTCAAGTTCCCTCTTATGAGTTTTATGTTGCATGTTACATTTCAGGTTCCCTCTTACTGGTTTCACAGTTAAGAAATCTTTTTTTTTTTTTAAACATTGATTTTAGAGAGGGGAAGGCAGCCACAGAAAGTGTGGCATCGGCTTCTGTGGTTCCACTTACGGGTGCATTCATCAGTTGATTCTTCCTGGGCCCCGACCAGGGATTGAACCCCCAGCCTGGGTGTATCGGGACGATGCTCTCACCAACTGGCCTATCTGGCCAGGCAGGGCTCAAGAAACCTCGTGTGGTATCCATCCTTCCGCAGGTTTGCTCCGAGGCCCGTCTGCAGCTTCATCCTGTGAGCTGATTCCGCCTAGGACGCTGGTTGGTAACAAAGTGCTCGCGTAGGTGATTCTGACCACAGGTCCCCTGGTGGCCGAGCGGTGGAACACGGGGCACCGGCGTCCCGCAGAGCGTGCAGACGGGCATGTGGGAGGCAGAGAGCTGCGTACGTGCAGTCTGGGCCTAAAGCACAGGCGGCGACGCGGACACTTTTGCAGGGATCGGCCACCCAAACGCTCGGCATCAGGGCAGACGGACAGATGCTTCCTTTTCATTTTTGTTTCGAAGCACGTTGCACGCGCTCCCCTCCAGAAAGGACCTGGGCTTTCCCCGAGTCCAGGCCAAGAGGAGGCGGACTGTCTGAAGGAGGTCGCAGGGTTCGTGCCTGGTAAAGATCGAGCCTGGGAGAGGCGTCCTAGGCAAAGGCAGCTGGGCTTTTGACAAGGTCCGTCTGCTCCGGACTCTCTCGCAGCAGCTGCCGCGCTCACGACGTGCGGGGTCGGGTCCTTTTGAAGTGGCGGCCTTGGCAGCGCTTTGTTCCCGGCGCTGCTTCCCATCTGGCCGCGCGCGGGCGCCGCTGCCTCCCCAGAGCCCGGCAGGAAGCGCGGCGCCGGGTCTTCAGGAAGCACCGGACGCCCCGCGCTGCACGCGGCGGGGCTGCGGTGCCAACGTGGGCGAGCGGCGCGCGCGGGCGTGGGGCGCCCGAGCCTTGGCACTGAAGTCTTTAACGAGACGAAGATGGAAGAGAACAGTTCATTGGAGAACTTAGGAAGGAGCCCACTTACCGGGGGGCGGGGCAGGGGCTGGAGGGGAGGGGAGACGTCAAAGGGTATCTGCTTCGGGGTTGCCAAGGCGCCTACTAGGTTTCTGGAGGGTGAAAAATCGAATAGGTGGTGGGGTTTGGTATTTTTTTTCCTTTTTAAATAAAGCTTTGGTTAGGAAAGCTGCAACCTGGAGGTGGTCCTTTTATTTCCCACCTTGACCAGCTTTTTTTTCTTTTGAAGACTCACTCTGTTTCCTTAGCATTAGTACTGGTATAATTTGGAAACTGGTATCCATAGGGAATCAGGCAGGATTTTCTACGTGCAATGAAATACGTGGAAAAAGTATAGCAGTTAAGAAAGTCTGCGTAAACTTGAGCAACATTTTTGTCCAAACAGAACCGCCCCTGAAAGTTCATTGAGAATGTTAAAAACGTAACCGTCTCGCGTTGAGCTGAGGAAGGAACGCAGCAGAGCCGAAAGGAGGGTGCAATTGTGCGCGCGCGCGCGCGCGCGCGCGCCTGGGTAGACCAAGGAGTTTCCCCTTTCTTTAAGCTTTATTTGCTGATTTCAGATGAAAACCCTGCTTCTGTGCGCCCGTTTCCCAGGGGAAGAGGGGCCATAAAACCCCGCTATTGTAAGAGCAGCCACAGCCGTCACAGTTCTCAATGGTGTTCAGGCGCCCGCCACGCAGCACATCAGCGCTGTCAGAGTCCCGATCAGGGGAGACCTGGCGCGCGAGGCAGGCGCTTCTGGAAGATCAGTCCGGGGTTGGGGCGGGGGACGGGGGGCAGGGGTCTGTAGATTCTGGAGAAGGCAGCCCCCGGAGAGGCGCGGTGGAAGGGGGAAAGCCGGCCTCCCTGCCTCTGGCGCTGCTCCTTCCCCACCCCCTCTCCCACCCCGGGATCACCCTCGTGAGGCCTCGTGGCGTTTGCGGAGGGCGCACAGCCCCCGCCGAGCCCGGCGCCTTTTCCTCGAGCGCTGGGGCTGGGAACGGGGCTGGGGCGGGGGCGGCGGCGGAGCGAGAGGCCCGCAGCACATGATGCCCCACCGCCCAGCCCGCCCAGCGCATGACCCAGGCCGGCCCGCGGGGGCCTGGCAGAGCTGAGCCGCGTCCTCCAGCACAGCTTATTATGGCCTCCCCGCGCCTCGGGACCTATTGCTGCCCCACGCGGGACGCCGCCACGCAGCTTGTGTTAAGCTTCCAGCCGCGCGCGTTCCACGCGCTGTGCCTGGGCAGCGGGGCCCTCCGCCTGGTGCTCGGCCTCCTGCAGCTGCTGCCGGGGCGCCGGCGCGCGGGCTCCGGGGCGACCTCGACACCCCCGCCCGCTTCTGCCCGCGCCCCGGCATCCACCCGAATCCTGCGCGTCGCCGCCGCCTGCGACGTGCTCGGCTGCCTGGGTAAGGGCGCACGGCCCCGCGCACAGTGAGGGGCGCGCGGCCCGTCTTTGGAGACCTGCTAGGAGCTGGATCAGGAGGCGCGGCCGGGGGGGTGTCATCTGCTTGGTGCCTGGGTGTGGGCGCGCGGCCCGCGGGTTGTGATCTGCTCGGAGCCTGGGCGAGGGCGAGCGGCTCGCGCGTGGGCAGGATGTCTGAAAGCTCGCATGACAGAGAAGGGAGGAGAACCGATTCCCCAGGGACCAGACCGGAGGCCTGGAAGAGTCTGCAAAACAGAGGGTCGATAAAAGTTATGCCTAAGGGACACTTGTTTCTAAAGAACCGGTTTACTCTGTTGGTTATTGCAAGTTTCCCAGAGAAACTTTAGGGCAGTGAAGCCAAACCCAGAAAAATATAGTAGTTACGGAGTTATTCCACCAGGGAGAGACTAACAGTTGTGTGTGTGTGTGTGTGTGTGTGTAGTTTTTCCTTTCCCAGGTCTGGGTTTTACACCCGGGAACTGCAGCCCACAATTCTGCCTGTTACATGTTTAAATTTTTTTTAATGAAAAAGAACAGTATTTCCCAGGGTGTAAGTATTTCATGACATGTACATGCCCGTGTCCGTAAATGGACTTTTATGGGTAGGCAACCGGCCTGGCGTTGCACATGTTCCGGGCGGCCTCTCGCCCTCCTAGGGCTCAGGCCGGGGTTGACAGAGCAAGTCCAGCCCCAGGGACCGTGGAGCCTCCACTCACTGGCCCTTCCGGGAGGTTTACCCTCGCTCCTTGTACGCGGGCATGGCGCCTTGATAACATGGCCCTTTGGGGACACCTCGAGGTAGATGTTGCCTGATGTTTTAACTTTTTATCTTGGGAATCTGGTCACACACATAAGTGTGGGAGCGCTGCATAACCACCTCCCCCCCCATGCAGCTCCCATTGGGTTAATTTGTAGCAAATCCCAGAATGTGTATCATTGCATTCACACAGATCTCAGCATGCCGCTCTAAAAGAATCAACAAACACATACAACACTAATATCGTTATCGCCTTACAAATAATTAAAAACAATTCATTAATATCCTAGGTGCCTGTGTGGTTGTGTCAAAAATGCTGTGTTTTACAGTTGGTTTGTTCGAACCAGTATCCATATACTCGTCTACCCTTTGCAATTGGCTGATAGGTCCTGACTGTTTTGGAATCATGTTTGTCAGTAATGTTTGCTCTTTTTTAAAGAGACTTTATTTATCTCTGGAGAGAAGGGAAGAGAGTGAGAAATTGAGGGAGAGAAATATCAATGTGGGGGAGATACATCCATCAGTTGTCCCTTGTATGCACCCTAATCAGGGGCCGAACCCGCAACCCAGGCCTGTGCCCTGACTGGGAATCAAACCGACGGTCTTTTGCTTTGTGGGACAGTGCCAACCAACTGAGCCACACCAGTCAGGGCAATGTTTACTTTTTTGAAAAAAATTTTTTTTATTCATTGACTTGCGAGAGAGGAGAAGGTGGAGAGAGAGAAACACGGATCTGTTGTTCTACTTAGTTTTGCATTTACTGGTTGAATCTTGCGTGTGTCTTGACTGAGGATTGAACCCACGACCTTAACATAACAGGACGATGCTCTAACCAGCTGAGCTGCTCAGCTATGGCTAATAATGTTTGCTCTTGAAGCAAAGGCCACAGGTGGTATCTGAACTGCCCCCACCTCCAGGACCTGGGGCGATGGCCACAGCTTGTTCCCCACCTGGAGCGGGTACCTGGGCACAGGCGTGCCTGTGTCCCAGGTCCCAGTTGTCCCGTTCTTGCCCATGTGATTGGAGACACGCAAAAACCTTGACCTCAAATAAATGCTACGGAACCACTAGTCACTTTCTCAGACTTGAGGGAGTACAACAGGAAGCAATAGTGACTTCCCATTAAAGTCAGTCTGGTGCAGGGATTTGAATATGTAGAAATAAAGATGCACCCCAACTTCTTTTGAGGGCCAGTGAAATACTATTTGCATGTTCTTTCACCTTAAGAAAGGAGGTGGATAGTGTGGGCAGATGAACAGAGGCGGAAGCCCCAAAAGCTGGGTGACCGGAAGCAGTCACTGAAAAATACGAACTATGGTTGCCTGTCTCACAGGGCATGGCTGGGCGCAAAGAAGTGCCATGGGCTGAAAGTGATATATTTTTTTTCCAGAGAAAGAAAGCACTGTTTTTGTTAGCAGTGCCGTGATAATGAGAAGATCTATTGCTTTTTAGTGAGAGTCATTTTGCAGTTCACGGTTAGTGGTGTGTTATGTAGTGTCTATGTAGTGTATTACACGGTACGTATGCCCTAGCGTATTACACAGTATACGAGCGCTCACTGGCACGTAGTATATGACTTTGCGCTGTTCAACAGTCCCCGTTCAGCAGTCCATGACCTAGGGCATGCCTAAGCACATGGTATCGTCCCTAAGCGTGTGCTTTAACTAAAGTATCGCAGCTAGTGCATGCCTAAGCACAAGGTATTGTACCTACCATATGCTTTAACACAGAGTATTGTATCTAGTTCATACTTTCACACAAAATATTGTACCTAGTGTATGCTTTAACACAAGTATTGAATTTCTTAACCAAGAACCTTGTTCTATACTTTAAGGGTGAATAGTGTTTTGAGGAGAAGTAGATATCTGGGTCTAATAGGAAAAAAAACCTCGGAAATAATAAACGTCAGAAGGAAATTTTCAACAGCTCATCTGTGAAAATCTTAAATGTAATTTTTAAAAGAATGAAGCGAGTATTTTTTTCAACTTCAAAAGTGTGCTATTTTAATCATTCTTTTTTTTTTGTATGAATAAGAGTTCCCTGGCCCTGGCCAGGTGGCTCTGCTGGAACATCATCCCGTGCACCGAAAGGCTGTGGGTTCCATTCCCGCTCAGGGCGCTGGCTTGGGTTGTGGGTTTGATCACCGGTCAGAGAGCAAGTGGAAGGGAACTGACCAAAGCTTCTCTCTCATGTTCATGTTTCTCTCTCTCTCTCTCTTTCTGCCCACCTTCTGTCTCTCTCTCTGAAATCAATAAACATATCCTCAGTGGGGATTTTTTAAAGTGCGCTAACATGGCCATTACAAATATAGCTGAGAAGTACTGATTGTTATTTATATAATCACTCCTTAATGCCAAGTAAACACAAAATATAGGGACACAGTTATGGCCAATGGTGGCTCCAGTAGAAACCCCAACACCTCGGATGGCTTTGGCAGTAGAGCAGTTATTTTCTGAGTAACTCGGTCTTATTTTTCTTTTTCTGTGCACAGAGCAACCTATGTGTTGCTTCTCTCCCTTTCTCCCTACGTTCCTTCTCCCCCTCCTTTCTGTGTATCTAGGAATCAATCCGTCAGTCAATCAACCTGTATCCATTCACCATCTGTCATTTTTTGCCAACTAACAAGTCAGCTTTAGATCTGAATTAGGACCAGGTAGAAACGATCCCTGACTTGTCGCACCTGATTCTCGCTCAGGCATCGTCGCGCGGTCTGCGGTGTGGTTGGGATTCCCTGATTTCGTGGCAAACATCTCCAGAGAAAACGCAACCGGGACAGACATTTGGCCGGCGGCCTTCTGCGTGGGGAGCGCCGTGAGTATACGCCTACCTCCCTCGGTCTGCCTCTCCGCGCCCCCGCCCCCCACCCCCTGCGCCTGGTAGCCTGTGGTCCTCAAAGAGGGGTCCCCCCCCACCACCAGCCACCAGCCACCAACCGCCAGGGGACGCGCGCACTGGAGTGTGTTAGGAATGCAAATCCTGAGACTCCGCTCCTGCAGAACTGAGGATCGGGAGCCCCGGGGAGGGGGTCTGGGGCTGTCGCGCGGTCTCCCTCCCCCACCTATAGTACTTACCTTAGGAAGAGCCACAACCACAGCCAGCTGGCAAATACACACACACACACACACACACTCACACGCACGCACACACGCACGCACGCACGCCTGCGCTCCGGTGAGGAATCTCAGGGCCCCCTGGCGCTGTGTGGACCCGACCCCCCCCCCCCCCCCCCTCCAACACACACTCCAGACCATGTGCGTCAGGCCAGACCCGGAGGCACAGAGCTCCCGCGAGCTTCTAACCCAGGAGCCCTCCCCGCCCCTTCCACTGCGAAGACCTTTGAGAGTCTTCCCTGCCCGCACGCCCTCGCTCTCAGCAAAACAGCTTCTCAAAGACCCTGTGAGCCCCGCGCCCCTTCGCCGTCCTCCTGACTCCTTGCTCGACCAGGCGCCCCGCACCGGAGGCGGGGCTCGCCGGTGCGCCCGGCTGAGCCCCGGCGACCGCGGACGGAGGCGCACGCCGGGCCCAGCCACAGCCGGCCCCCGTTCCCCGACGGCCTGCGCGGGCCCGGCGCTGTGGTCGGCGGCCCCTGGCGTCCGAGGGACGGGCGCCCGCAGCTCATTTCACACCGTGAGCCGGGCCGAGCGCGGGGCGGTCCGTGGGGCTCTGACGCCGCTGTCCCTCCGCGCAGGTGTGGATCCAGGGGCTCTACAGCGCCTGCTTCTGGTGGCTGTTCTGCTACGCCGTGGACGCCTACCTGGTGATCCGGCGGTCGTCGGGGCTGAGGTAGGCGGCGGCCGCGGCGGGGCGCCCTGCCTGGCCTGGCCCCCGGGCCTTGCCCCGCAGCCGGCGCCCTCCGAGCCGGGCCGCCGACCCCGGGCGTGAGCGCAGCCGCTGGTTCTCATACGAGGCCGGAGGCAGAGGCACAATAGCGAGACTCGCAAAACCCCCAAAACGCATAATCGATACAGTAAATCAGTCCATTGGAACGGGGCAAATACCAACAAAGAATGGGCACGAGGGTAGCAAAACGGCGATGGACCGTAAAGGTCCGAGGAGAAACGTCCTCGAGGGGCGTATTGACACTTTCTGTGCAAGACGGACCCGCGGACGCCGGGGCGCAGGGGCCGCCGGGGGCGCGTGGCACAGCGGTTGGCGCCTCGTCGCGCGTGGCGCGCGTTCCTGCCCCCTCGCTGCTGGCAGGCGCGGCGGCTCCCGGGGCGCCAGCGCCCTGCGCGGCCACACGGTGCGCGCCCCAGGCGGGCGCCGCGAGTCGGCGCGCTGGCGGGGGTCCGCGGCCCGCAGGCTCCCGGGGGCGCAGGACGCTGGCTGCCGCCGGGGCGCCCGAGCGTCCTCGAGACGGGAACGTCCGCCACCTACACGGCAAAGAGGAGCAGAAAGGCGGGGCAGGGCGAATGTCTAAAAGATCCGGGGAGCTTTTGTCCCGCCCTAAGGTCACGCTCCACTCCAGTTCCCTTGGATGGAGCCCTGCTTGCTTTAAAAAAAAAAAAACCAACAAAACAAAACAACAACAACAAAACAGCTTTGTCAAGCCCCTCCCACTCAAACGTATAAGAGCCATCGCCTTTTCGTGTGTCTGCAAACTTGTGTTACCGTCACTCCGCATTCTCCCCCTTCTCCTCAGCCTGCGCCAACGACTCATCTCCTTTCCGTCTCTAGATTTGCCTCTTCTGGACATTTCCTAGAAATAGAATCACACAGTAAACGACCTTTCGTGGCCAGCTTCTTAAACTTAGCACCACGTGCCCGAGCGTCACCCATGTTGTGCCGTGTATGGGTACCTCCTTGCTGTTCCTTGCTGAGTAATAGTCCACCGTAGGGAATATGGCATCTTCTCCATGTATCCGCTGATGGGCAGTTAGGATGTTTCCACTGTCTGGCCATCAGGAATAATGCTGCAGGGAACGTGTGTGTACAACGGTTTTCATCGTAGACTTAGGGGTGCAAGGGGAGGGTCTCTGCTTCCTGCTACTTCCATAGGAGGGCGCATTGCTTCCCCCGCACCCCTGGGGCACTGGGGCCGGGCCGGGCCGCCTGCAGCTGCCGGGATCGGGAGGGCAGGCCGAGCCCGGAGGAGCTGTCTTCCCACCCAGATGCGTTTAGAACTCGCCTGGACGCTCGCGCGAGGACAAGCAGAGCGCTCAGCATGTGCCGAGGTGGCTTCCAAGGGCTTGCCCGTCACGCAGGAGGCGAATGTCCGAGGAGGCGACATGCAAACCATCCCAAGGGCAGCAACAGGCGCGGGGCGCGCTTCCTCGGCAGGCGGCTGTTCAGAGACAGGCAGCAGGCGGGGCGGGGTCCCCGAGGACTCCAGGGCAGGGGCCTGGCTTTGCTGGATTAACTCCGCTTGCCCTTATCATTCCTCCCATTCCTTAGCTCTTTTCTTTAGCCTGGGATTGTTAGAACTGTCTCTTATAATCCTAATCCTAAAAAAGGCCGTTCGAAGTTAACATGTAAACTGCTCCTTTGGTTCCATGTTTGGGGTGCACAGGTATAACCACAGCAGGCACTGGAGCCCTGGCCGGGTAGCTCAGTGGGTTAGAGCCTTGTGCCCCGTATGCCAAGGCTGTGAGTTCGATCCCCGGGTAGGGCACTCGCAGGAATCAACCAGTGAGCGCATCCGTAAGTGGAACAACATAGTGTTGTCTAAAATTAATACATTTTTTTTTAAATGTGAAAAAATGAAAGAGGGCACTGGATCCCTGGGGAAAAGGCAGACGTGGAAGGCCCTGTTTGCTCCAAGAAAATGAAAGTGAGCGAGAACAGGGGGTCTGGGAGGACCGCCCAGCAGTCTTCAGCCCCGGCTGCTCCTCCCCGCGGCTGCGCTGGCCTTCAGGCGCAGCCCTGCTGTGGGTTTTCTGGGCTGGATCAGTGACTGAAGGGGCTGCCGCCGCCTGTGGGACCTGGTCCAAAACCGACGCCCACCCCTTGTGGCGTTTGGGGCCAGGGCACCGCTGCGCGAGCGTGGGTGAGCTATGGCCCTGGACCCACCTGGTCCAGCCCCTGGCCCGCTCCCTCACGGCCCCCCTCCCTCACGGCCCCCCCAGAACACCCTGCAGCCGGAGGGAAGGTCTGGGGGTGGGGGACGCGGCTCTGGACAGCAGCCCAGCCCCTGCAGACAGCGGCTCACATTTTGGAGTCGCATGCAGAGCCTCTGGCCTCTGGGCAAGATGCACCGAGACACAGCCCTTCCCAAGCTGCTCGAGCTGCTGGTCGTGTGGAGGAGGCAGAAAGTGCTGCGGCGCTTCCTTCCTCCTCACGCTCACGCCTCAGCTGCCGCCCCTGCCTCCCTTCCCTCCTGCCTGCTTGTGGAAGAGCATCCTTTCTCTCCCACCCCTGACGGCTCCCTGTGTCCGCCGGGCCGGCCTTCTGAGCTGAGACCCGGAGGACGCGGGGGCTGCCCCCTTGGCCGGCAGCCTGGCCCCCACCTGTGGCGCACAGGAGGCCGATGATGCGAGGCTGCCGAGGACCAGCCGGAGCCCTCTTCCCGTGCCGAACGCCTCCGTCTTCCCGGCCCCCCCCCCGACAAAGCTGGCCGGCTGGACTCCTTGGGGGGACCAGGGCGGGGCGGGGCGGAGGAGGAGATGGAGGGTAGAGACGGCCCAAGAATGTGACCTCTGCAGGGTTGCCGGGGAGGGGCAGGCAAGAATGGCCGCTCCCTGCTGGGGAGGGCGGGCTAGAGCGGAAGCTGCCTGCTCTCCGGCTGCGGCATAAACACCCCCTTCTTCACGCAGAGACCTCGGTTTGGAGCGGGCTCTCCCACCCGCGTGTTAGGTACAGGGGTGGTGTGGGGAGACCGGGCATAGGAGCGCCACGCTTATAGGGCAAGTAGGTACTTACGAGGTGCCCGTGCCCTGACCCCATCACCCTGGAAATGCTTCTGTTGAGCAGAAGCAGCCAGACCCAAAGGCCACATGGTGTATGATCTCACTGAGGTGAAATGTGCAGAAGAGGCAAACGCACAGAGACAGAAAGCGGGCTCGGGGTGGCCCGAGGCTGGGGGCCGGAGGAGCGGGGTTTCCCACGGGGCGAGGGCCGGGGCATGGGGCGGGAGCGAGGCTGCACCGCATCGCGACTCTCCTAAATGTCCCGGAGCCGCTCCGTGGAGCATGCGTAGCGTTGTGCGCTCTGACTTCCACCTCCAAAAAACCACTGCGCAGAGGCCAAAGAAGGCCACTCCTGGCCGGGGGCTGCGCTCCCTCCGTGCGCGTCCCGCCTCGGGGCGCACGGGGCCGGCGGGGCCGCTGAGGCCGGGGTGCGCCTCAGCGTGGCCTGTCCGCTGCCCTCCTAGCATCATCGTGCTGTACCACATCCTGGCCTGGGGGCTGGCCGCCCTGCTCTGCGCCGAGGGGCTGCTCATGCTCTACCACCCGTCCCTGTCCAGGTAAGCCAGCCCCCCAGCCCTCCAGCCCGCCGCTGCCCCCGGGCCCTCCCGGGGCGGGGGTGTCCAGCCCGGCAGGCCAGGCCGTGGTCGGGTGTGGGGAGCTGGGGGAGCCTGTGCCGCGGAGTCCCGGCCCCTCGGCCCCGCGTGCGTGGCCCGGCCCCTGCCTTCCCCGTGAGAGCGGGCCGCTGCCTGAGCACACAGTGTCCTCTTCGCTGCTTTCCCTCTACGTTATGCACCTCTCACCGGATAAGCTCCGCCTGGGGCGCCATACCTGTGTGTGGCACTCCAGCACATCCCGTGGGGACCGATGACGCCCTGACCCGTCCGTGGACATCCAGGTCCCTCTGCCTGCAAAGAGCCAGTGGGGGGTGGTGCTCTCTAACCGTGACGGCCCGCGTCCCCTGAAATTTAAAGCTGGGCGTCCAAGGAGCTCCAGGGCAGCACCCGCATCTCTCCGGGGGTCGGCCGGGCCAGGCAGGCCGAGCGCACAGGGAAGGCTCCGAGCCCAGCGCTCTCCGGGAGGGCCCGTCTTACTTGCCTGCTGCGTCTTTGCCGCGCCCAGGGCCTGCGGGGGAAATCCCGCACGCTGAGCGTCTCGTCTTTTCCTTCCTCTGCCGTTTCCCAGCCGGGAACTGTAGCGTCTCCCCACAGTTCAGCCCGACAGGTCCTGCCACTGACGAGACAAACAGAAGCCAGCTGGGTGTCCCTGGTTTTTCGGGGATGCAGTGCTCGTGCACAGACACGAGCCAGGCGTCAGAGTCAGAGTAGACGTGTGCACAGGTTTGCCCCTTGTGCGTCCATCCTCTCGTCTCGGCTCCCAGACGCAGCCGGCGTCCTGCCGAATGCCCTGGTTCTCCTCCTGCAGGTGTGAGAGGGACCTGGAGCATGCCATCCCCCACTACGTCACCACGTACCTGCCCCTGCTGCTCGTGCTGGTGGCCAACCCCATCCTGTTCCGGAAGACGGTGACGGCAGGTAAATGTGGGAGTGTCCTCCTGGTGCGTGGCCATGGGCCTGCCCGTGCCTTGGGCTCCGATCCCAGTTGTCCTGGGATCACCTAGGACCACTGAGTTTGTGCCTCGCGCTGCAGAGAGAGAAGCAGATACACGGCCAAAGTGGGCGGCCTGTAGCCGTGCAAGCGAGGACGCCCACCTAGTGAGGGGCTGCCCAAGTTCATGGCCAGGCCGGCACCTGTGCACTTCGCCCCCCCGGCTGGGCTCCTCCTGGTCTGCCCGTGGTGTGATGCGGAGGGCCCAAGAGGGGCCTGGCAGGACGGTGGCAGTGACACAGGGCCGGAAGGAGGGGAAAGGGCTGGGGCAGGGCATGCAGTGCGGCCGAGGCGTGGGGGGCTACTCACCCCACGGCGCCCTTGGCCTCTGTCTGTTCCCAGCCGAGCAGGAAAAGGAAGTAATCACAGGAAATGAGTCGAAGGCAGCGGTAAGGACTAGGTAAGGGGAAGCTGTAACTCAGCACAACTCCGCGGAGACACATCGGGGCCGAGGCCGGGGACTTGCGTGCTAGCCCCCAGCCCCCTCCCGCTGCCAGAATCTGTCAAGTGCAGGAGGAGGACGAGGGCGGCCGCCGAGGGTCAGCGGAGGATCGGCGACCTTGCAAACATGGAACGCACGCCACCGCTGAGGACCGGAGGTCACTCACTGCGGCTCTTTGTGTCCTATCTCCATGTAAAAATAGTGTATTAGATCTAGCCTTTTTTTTTTTTTTTAAATTTACCTCATTGTTCCATCCTGATGCCTTCCTGTAATACGAGATAGAGCTGTTTTTAACCAAACGGCAAGGAAGTGATGATTTGGTTCTATCAAACAACTGAAAATGACAGGGAAAAGGGAAGGCACACACGTGATGTTGACCGCGGCGGTTGCTGGGCAGGCCATGGCGCACTCATGCCGGACCCTTTCTTGTGTTTTCCAACTTGTCTGTAAGGAAAAATCTTATATCTTTCAATGTTTTAGAATGGCAAGCGTGCATCGTTTTGATAATAGAAAATATAAATCTTGAAAAATAAAGTCCCCTGCCCTGGCCGGTGAGGCTCAGTGGACTGAGTGCCGGCCTGCGAACCCAAAGGTCACCGGTTCCCAGTCAGGGCACGTGCCTGGGTTGCGGGCCAGGTCCCCAGCAGGGACATTTAAGAGGCCGCTGATCAGTGTATCTCTGTCACACTGATGTCTCTCTCTCTTTCTCCATTTTTCCCCCCTCTCTGTAAAAGTAAGTAAAACCTTTAAAAAAGAATGAAGTTCCTGAACTAGGAAAATGCACGTAAGAGTCTGGAGTGTAAGGGCTGGCACCACACCCACGCCATTTCTTTCTTGTGACAGGGGACCACAGTCATGTAAGGTGGGAACTCTGCGGGAAGGTGGGTACAAGTCAACAGAAACTCTCTGCGCGGCATGTGCCACCCTTACGTAAATCTAAACCGGTTTCAAAGTAAACGTTTCCAATCTCTATCTTCCCTCGAGTCTCTGAGAACGGCAACGCAGACGCTGCGAGGACACCACGGCGGTGTCCTGCCGGCTGCTCGGGCGCCCGGCTCTGCTCGGGGGCTCCCGTGGACCTCGAGTCCCCTCCCTGTCACTCGGGCGGCATCAGTAACGACGTCCTGTGCACCTCTCCTCTGTTCTCCGCAGTGGCCTCTTTACTGAAAGGAAGACGAGGCATTTACACAGAGAAGGAGAGACGGATGGCCGCCATGATCAAGATCCGCTTTTTCAAGATCATGCTGGTTTTCATATCTTGGTAACCTTTCTCCTCTTCTTCCTCCCTGTCACCGGGAAGGGACGTGCCTGCCCCGTGCCGTTTTGCTTTTCCGCCTGTGATCTGAAAGTCCCAAAGGGAAGAGTCTTTGGGAAAGAACCCTTTGAAACAGCGCTGGGGGCCCCTTGAGGAAATAAATGTGCATCAGGCGGCGCAGTGGGCCCACACCCTGCGAGTCTCAGCAAAGAGGCAAATCTACTGCCATTAGATAGAAAGCCCATAGGACAAAAAAAAAATCCCGTTTCGCTTCCACACATCCCAGTCATGTGCATCCGGGGTCATGCCGCCTGCTGGGGTGAACAGGGAGAGACAGGCTTCACTGCGCCTTCCAAATCCACCCACTTGCTTCCGTCTTGACCCCACGATGCCTGTGTCTAGGAAGGCACGAGGGGAAGCGCACGTCTTCGGTGGGGTGACTCATAGCTCAGGCCAGAAGGGGCGAGAGCAATGTTCCTGTCCCCATGGTTTTCTGCCGCGGGCCGTGTGCCCCAGCGTTGCCAGCGCGTGCCTTGGAAATAGACCTGTGACCTGCGCAGAACAGACTGAAAGCAGAAAACCGTTCACGGCCACTATCTGATAGGGTGATGTGCGGACGTTGTCCTAGGAGAGGCGTAAATAACCTTGTAAACACACCGCCCTTGCCCTTCCAGTCTCATGGGTCTGCCCATGATAACATCAAAGAATCCGAACATAGCATGTCAGCACGCGATTGGCTTTGGTCTCTGTCAAAGCGTCACGTTCCTCCTCTGGGTGGTTTCGTGTCGGATTTGTCTGTCTCTGCTGGAGACTGACAGGAGCAGTTACGTCTCTTCATGCCATTCTGCCTGTGCCTTTATGGTCCATTAATATTTGACAAACAAGGCAGGAGCACACAATGGAGGAAAGACTATCTCTTCAATCAGCGGTGTTGGGAGAACCGGAGTCGCACATGCGGAACAATGAAACTAGACCACCAACGTACACCCTACACCAGAATGAATTCAAGATGAGGAGAAGACTTCATTGTGAGCCGTGATACCATCAAAATACTAGAGGAAACACAGGCAGTGAAGTTCCAGCGATCTCGCGTAGAAATATTTCATCAAATTACGCTGGGCGGGCCCCTCCCTGCTGGGCACCCCTGCAGGGCCGACCGCCCCCCCAGCCCCCAGCATTAAAACAAGTCAAGCTGCCCGTTCTCTTAACTCTGGGCCATTTTCTTCCTGACAGCTGGTTGTCGAACATCATCAACGAAAGCCTTTTATTCTACCTTGAGATGCAACCAGATATCAATGGCGGCTCCTTGAAATACGTCAGAAATGCAGCCAAGACGACATGGTTTATTATGGTAGGTCCATCTTGATTTTAAACTTTCTGCTTGGAACAAAACATCAGGGGGAAGGAAAAACAAAACCCACTCAGGAGTAGGATGTCTTGTTATTGAAACAGATACGAGTTGGGGAGGTTCCTGGACTCCCCACGTGGCCGTGGGGCACAGTCACTGTTGGGGACGTTCAGGGGAACGCAGCTCGGGTACTGTAGCAGGCGTCTCAGGCAGACTCACGCCGCGGGCTGTATCTTGAAGAAATACTTCAGACTATGAGGAAGCCGGAGGGATGAAAGTGTTCCTTATAAAACTAGCCATAACTAGAAAGCATTCCAGATGACCCAAGTTTTTGAAAAAGGGGGTTAGGTAAATTCTGGTCTTTCCTCTTGATGGAATGTTATGCAGTTGTTAAGAATGACGTCCCCTCTAAAAATAAGTCAAATCTTCTAAAAATTATATTAAATACAACTGTGTAAGAACGCATGCAAAAAAAAAAATTGGCTAGAAATACACGGGATGATAAGGTGGGAACACCACGGGCCAATCCCTGTGTCCAATGTTTCCATTACACTGCACTTATAATAAAAAATGCACGCCTGAGTTGTTAGTGGAGACACGCATGTTGCCCTGCACAGAGTTAATGCCGTCCGATCTGCAGGACTGGAAAGCAGGACCCGCGTTCCCTGCCTCCCTTCCTGTGCTGTGCTTTGGAGTCTCTCTTGGGCCCTTTGGTTCCTGTCCCTTGTACTCAGCACACACCAGTGAGGAATGCTTCCTGGGGTCCCTTGCTGCCTCAGGAGCCTGTGTTCAATCAAAACCAACCGGTCCAGCCCTGGCTGGTGTGGCTCTGTGGATTGAGCGTCGGCCTGTGAACCAAAGGGTCGCTGGCTCGATTCCCAGTCAGGGCATATGCCTGGGTTGCAGGCCAGGTCCCCAGTGGGGGGCGCACGAGAGGCAACCACACATGGATGCTTCTCTCCCTCCCTTCCCCTCTGTCTAAACATAAATAAATAAAATGCTAAAAAAATAAAGAAAAGACAGACAAACTGGCCCCCTCCCGGTGAGGAGAGCCCGTGGGCACCCTGGGTGGCGCCCAGCGCTCTAAGCCCCGCCAGCCTGCCCTCACCGCCGGCTCTCTCTGTCTGCCTGCCAGAGCATGCTGAACCCGGCCCAGGGGTTTCTCTTGTCTCTGGCCTTCTACGGCTGGACCGGCTGCAGCCTGGCCTGGCGGTCTCGCAGGAAGGAGGTCCAGTGGGAGCCCATGATACCCTCGACCACGGAGCAGCCGTTCCCCACCCACGAGGGCTCCTGCGTGCGTCGTGACAACCCCGCTCCCAGGAAGGTGGCGCGTGTGAACGGGCACACTTCCGACGAGGCCCCGAGTATGCTGTCTGAAGGTAAGGCCCCGCGGCCGAGTCGGCAGGTCCGCGAAGTCCTTTAGCAAACAAGGGGACATGGGTTGTCACGCACTTTGGAGTATGCATGGGATGTTACAGTGGCCGACATTGACTGTAATCTTGCATGTCATTATTCACCACGCCTTTCAGTATTTTAATGGAGCTGTCTTTTAGTGATTAAGCACTGTAGTCTTGTATTGATTATAAAAGCCCCCCAGCTTGGACTGGATGGCATTTTGAATAGGAGGTAAATTGTCACTCAGGACCTGTTACTACCAGTTGCTGTGATTAGTAACAGCGGTAGTGGAATCTACGCACAACCTCTGTAGGTTGTTGGTGGCTTGATGGATCCAGCTCACGGGGGCGGGGGTGGGGCATTGAAGAACAAAATCCAGTCAGCCAGCGCAGGCTCTTTGAATCAGTTCTTTCCCTTTAAAGACCAGCGCTGTAACCTTCTAAGTGTGCCCTGCGGAACCCTAATGTGGTCCTGCAGGTGTGTAGGAAAGGATTCAAACCCCGTTGCAAGCTTCCTGTGCAAATACGTGAGAAAAAGCTCAAGCGCGTGGGTAACCAAATACCAGCTCCCCGGGCCCACCCGCCCATTAACTTGTCTGACCAGGGTGCCCGGCTCGTGTTTGGAGCTCAGACTAACGGTCGCCCACGGTCCCCGTTCAAGGGAAGACTGTCCCCGGGAGGCACAGTCAGCTACCTCACTCTGGGACATTTCAGCTCCTTAGCCACTGAGAACGAAATTTCCTTGCTATGCTGCCATCAAATCAAAACATAAAAACTTAGGAGGGTAACTTGGTAGAGACTATCTTGGAGACTTCCAATTATTGATTTTAGACTTGCATGCTGACAGAAGTCGCTGTCAGAGCTATCCTTATTTTCTAAATGCCTGCAATCCTCACTGTGGTTTAAATACATCTCTCCCTGCGGACTACGCTCTTCCCTTGGTGTCAGCGTTCGTTGTAGGGCTTCGACGTGGCAAAAGTATGTTTTCTGATGAAAAAAAGGTTTGAAAGTCACCACGCTGACACCCATGAAGTTTTAACTGACATGACGATTTGGTGACAATTTGCAGCATAGAGGCACATTGATCCTGGAGAGGAGGTTTTTTGGAGGCGATGGTTTTATGGGAGCCCGCTGGCTGGACAGCTGAGAGTTAGAATGTTGAAGACCATGGAGCGAGTGTCTCCGGGGTCTAGAGTCTGCTCTTCCTCCCTCAGCTGGCGCTGCCGCTCGGTAGAGATGGCCCCAAATTCCCTGTTCAACCCCTTGCCCGTCCACTGTCTCTGCTCGCAGAGCGGGCTTGTCACCCTCAGCACCGTGAGCATTGAGAGCCGGGTGACTCTCTGTGGCCGGGCGTCCTGGGCACTGGAGGGGGTTGGGCAGCCTCCCTGGCCCCTACCCACCAGATGCCAGGAGTCCTGTTCCCAACGGGGACAACAAAGAGCTGTCTTCGGAGGTCAACAAAGGTCCCCTGGGGAACACAGTGACCCGAGGTCAGGACCAGTATCTCAGAATAATTAGGCTTCCCAGAGCTCATATCCACGATTTGCTTTGCTCAATGCGCTATCTGAGCTAAACGCAGGCCATCTCAGGCTCTCCCGCGCAGAGCCAGAGACAGCGGCCAACGCACACCACCCTGCAGAAATAATGTGATTTGGAGCAAGGAAAATAGGCCTTTGATTTCAGAGTTTCATTTCCTTTTGCATTCAAGCTGTTTAGATACCTTGAAGGAGGGTTTGTTTTTGGGTAATGAGCTTGGTTTATACCCTAGGGCGCAAAAGCATGGTAATCGGGCGCCTCGAAGGGAACTGGTCGTTATGCTAGGGGACAGAGACCCCGTGTTTGCAGACTCTCCTCGGGTCCAGTCCTTCCTCCAGGATGAAGGACCCACCCAGGGAGCTGCGGACAGCATGGTGCCCGCTGCCTGGGGAATGAGCCAAAAACTGTTATCTGCAAATTTCCGGCTTTGTTTGCATCCCCATCCTGGCGTTTTAAAATGCAAAAGCCCGTCTTGGGAGGTCAAGGAAAAGGGAAACATTGCAAATGACAAGGAAACTGCGTCCCAGCCTGCACGTGCCCCCCGGCCCCCCCCCTTCCGCGTCACCACCAGAAACGAGGTCCGTGAGCACTTCCTCTCATTATCTCCGGCGAGCCGTGGCGTGGCTCTGCTGCTCCAAGGGCCAGAGTTTGCACACAGGCGCTTCAGGAAACGCAACGGGAGGCCTGACTAGCGTGGCTGAGCGGGCTGGGCGTCACTCCACACACTGAAGGGTTCCTGGTTCGATTCCCGGTCAGGGTGCATGCCTGGGTTGCCAGTCAGGTTCCCGGGGCACTCTTTTTCCCCGCTCCCTTCCCTTCTCTCTAAATACAATCGTTAAAATAAAGAGAACACGGAGGGAGACCCCTTGGAACTCAGTGTCCTCATGGGTGAACAAGACTCTCTCTTTGAGACTTGATCTCCACTATTCATCAGTTTCTCTTTGGGAAAATGCTAAAAGAAGGAAAATATAAGTTGTTGAGTTTGGATAGTGTCACAACTGCTGAAGTGGCAGGTTTCCTGGGGGACTTTCCCCTTCATATGTCCCGCCAGGGGTCAGCTAAAGGGGGCCCCAGCCCCCTTTGCTTTTTTAAACCTTTGAGATATGATACACATATTGTAAACCGTGGGCGCCTCCGTCCTTAACAGCAGGTTCTTGGACCGGCAGCCACGCGTGCGTCGCGCCCCGGAAGAATGTCATCACCGCTGTGTAGACCCCGCCCTCAGGAGTTTGCAGGCATGTGCTAAAGAGAGCACCTAGCTGTGTGATTCGGGAACTAAATCATTCTAGCATTTTGCGCCTTAGCTCACTTGGGGCCATCTATGAATCGCCCCAAGTGGGCTTTGGGGCTGTCACCACGCCTGACCCCTGGGGTCAGTTTTAGGATTTCCCTATGTGCACAGGTACCTATAATCTCAACTGAACCATAATCCCTTCTCTCCCACAGTTCCATCGTTCTAACATGGACTCCTGTCCTTCCCACAATTCTGTACTCTCACCACAACCCCTTGGCATTCCCACAATTCCCCAGGCACCCATGACGTCACCTCTTCCATAATTCCTTGTCTCACTATACCCCAGGTACCTATGACCTCATTTCGCCCATAATTCCTTGTGTCTCCCACAATCCCATTTCCCCTCCCATGATCCCCTGTCACTCAGACGCGTCCATCTACTTCCGACAATTCCTCATTTCTCCCACAATTCCGTTTCTGTCAGGGCCTGTTCTCTTTCCCACAATCCTTTATTTCTCCCACAATTCCACTTCACTGCCATGATTCCTTGGCACGCCTACGCGTATGTCTTCTTCCCACAATTCCTCTTTTCTCCCACAATTCCATTTCACTCCTATGATCCCCTGTCACGCTTATGCATCCGTCTTATTCCCACAATTCTTTATTTCTCCCACACTTCCGTTTCCTTCAGTGCCTGTTCTCGTTCCCAGAATCCCTTTTTCTCCCACAATTCCAGTTTACTCCCATGATCCCTTGTCATGCCTAAACGTCCATCTTCTTTCCACAACCCCTTATTTCTCCCACAATTCCATTTCACTCCCATGATCCTCCGGCACGCCTACGCCTCCTATCATCTTCCCACAATTCCGTTTCCTTCAGGGCCCATTTTCTTTCCCAGAATCCCTTTTATCACCCACAATTCCATTTCACTCCCATGATCCCCTGTCATAACTTCATGTCCATCTTCTTCCCAAAATCCCTTAGTTCTCCTACAATTCCGTTTCCTTCAGGGCCCATTCTCTTTCCCATAATTCCCTCTCCCACAATTGAGTTTCACTCCCATGATCCCCTGTCACTCCGACGCGTTGGTCTTCATCCCACAATCCCTTATTTCTCCCACAATTCCATTTCACTCCCATGATTCCCTGTCACACCTATGCGTCCAGTCTTCTTCCTACAATTCCGTCTGTCAGGGCCGGTCTCTTTCCCTCAATCTCTTATTTCTCCCAAGTTCCATTTCCCTCCCATGATCTCTTAACACGCCTTCGCGTCCGTCTTCTTTCTACAATCCTTTATTTCTCCCACAATTCCATTTCACTCCCATGATTCCTTGTCACGACTACACGTCCATCTTCTTCCCACAATCCTTAGTTCTCCCACAATTCCATTTCTCTCAGGGCCTGTTCTCTTTCCCAGAATCCCTTATTTCTCCCACAATTCCATTGCACTCCCATGATCCTCTCTCACGCCTACGCATCTTATCTTCTTCCCACAATTCCGTTTCCTTCAGGGCCCGTTCTCTTTCCCACAATCCCTCATTTCTCCCACAATTCCGTTTCTGCAGGGACCGTTCTCTTTCCCATAATTCCCTGTCTCCCACAATTCCATTTTACTCCCATGATCCCCTGTCACGCCTTCGCTCTGTCTTCACCCACAATCCCTTATTTCACCCACAATTCCGTTTGTGTCAGGGCCCGTTCTCTTTCCCACAATCCCTTATTTCTCCCACAATTCCATTTCACTCCCATATCTTAACATGCCTTCGCGTCTGTCTTCTTTCTACAATCCTTTATTTTCCCACAAATTTATTTCACTCCCATGATCCCCCGTCACAACTACGCGTTCATCTTCTTCCCACAATCCCTTAGTTCTCGCACAATTCCGTTTCTCTCTGGGCCTGTTCTCTTTGCCACAATCCTTGATTTTTCCTACAATTCCATTTCACTCCCATGATCCACTGTCACGCCTACGCATCCATCTTCTTCCCACAATCCCTCATTTCTCCCACAATTCCGTTTCTGTCAGGGCCCGTTCTCTTTCCCATAATTCCCTGTCTCCCACATGGTTATTTCACTCCCATGATCCTCTATCACGCCTTCGCGTCCGGCTTCTTCCCACAATACCTTATTTTCCCCACAATTCCATTTCATTCCCATGATCCCCGTCCCGCCTACTCGTCCAATCTTCTTCCCACAATCCCATTCCTTTCAGGGCC